GGGGGTGGGGGGCGCAAGTGCCCATGGAATCCAGGTCATGGGGAGCTTCTCATTGACCAGCACCCTCAAGTTCTCCTCCTCAGGGCTGCTCCAGCCTGTCCCCCCCAGCCTGGGTCTGTGCTTGGGTTCTGTGTGCTTGGGAATGGGTTTTTCAAGCAAGATACACATAAGCAAGCCAGAAAAAGCTGTGAAAGCCCATTTGTGGTGGCAAGGCATGGGGATAGGAGGGAAGTCCCTGTTCAAACCCCCAGGAAACCATCCTGGTCCTGCAGTTCCTCACTGCAGACACGAAGGGAAGGGAGCAAACCCCTCCAGGGCAGTCTGGTCCTATGGCTGCTCTGCAAGAGCACACTGCACTGACAACCACAGCACAAGCTGTGTGAAGAGCAGCTGGATTTGGGTGAAGCTGGCACACAAGAACACAAAAACTTCCTTTTCGGGGGGGAGGGGGGGGTTACCCAGTCATCAGCACTGAGGACAGAAAGGACTGGACAAAACCCCTTCCTTCATTGACATCTACTCTCCCCAAACCAGCACAGCCTCTTCGCAGTGTCTCCCCATGGGCAGGTAGAGTTCCTGTACCTGGTGCTGGTCACAGCTTGGAACTCAGACATGTCTTCACTCAGACACTTCACTGCCTTGGGAAGACAAGCTTAGGAAGCTGCGTTTCACTCACCGCAGCAGTGAGAGCCTCAGTTTGATATTAAGAAAAAGATGGATGTATTTGAAAACACCTCTGGGAAAGAAGGACACCCCCCCCAGCCTTCCCCATTCAGCCAAATCAGGAACCCAATCACAATCCAACAGGAATAAATCCCATTTGAAGCTATAGCAGCAGCACAGTCATTTAATGTTTTCTCCTCTGGCAATCCTTCAAATGGAACCAACAACTACTGATAGCAATGAAAACGCCTTAGGGAGGCATCAAAACAACCTCATTTCTTCCCAGAGCTTCTTAAGCACTTTAAGCATGTCAGAGCAGGTTTTATTAACCCCCCTGAGCAAGAGAAAAGAAAATATCACAGAGTGTAAATGAATGTTTGGGGTGGGGGGTTGTCCAGGCTCAAGCCTCTCCCGCACAGCAGCACATTATCACACATCACAGCTGGCAGGAGGTGATTTACTCACTTGCTGCTTCGCTCTCCTGTTGTAATAAAAGGGAAGGAGTTTCTCAAGGCTCTTTTATCAATCTTCCTCATCCAGGCACAGGCAAAAAGAAATTAAACCCAACTGTGTAACAAGATCTCAGTGGGATATTATCTAAAGGAACTTTGCTTGAGTGGTTTGGTACAGGAAGGGGTGGCTGCAAGCCCTAAAATCTTCATGTAAGAGCTGCTTTGGGGGACAGAGAGTATTTCCTACGTAAGTAACACAGCAGGAGTGTCCCACAGGCTCTGGAGATAAGACACCAAGTAACATGCCTCGTAGCAGCATCAAAGCCTGGAAGATAATGTAAGAGGGTTGAACCTGGCTCAGTCAAGCAGGAACAGAACAGGATAAACCCCAGGCCCTGTCTTGCTCCCAGCTGATGTCCTACCCATGACTTCTCTCAGCGCTGCAAGTGGCTTAAAGTGAAGGGAACATCTGCCCAGGAGGCAGGAAAGCATAGCCCCAGCAGTGCTAACAGCCACCGGGGGCATTAGCGGAGTGTTTACACCAGTCTGGCTACACCAACAGCATCCATCTCACTCATTCCCGACAGCAAATCCTGCAGAATTCATAAAGGCAGAAAGACCTCCCT